TTTCTTTGTAATAGAAAATTCAGTTAATATGTCACATTAAAATATTTTCAGATAAAATCGAATGTATAAACGATTAAAGTCGGACGGTTGTAGCTGCAATCGATGTTCGATGGAACAGCGGACTTAAAAATTAAATCTGCGAAAAAAGTATAGTAATAATAAAACAACGAACCAGGAATAAAAATTCAAACTACATACATAATTCATAAAGTTTAATAACTCGGTTTAGTACGGTTGCCCGTTCATATTGATCGTCGCATGCAAATCCGTTTGAAAAATTGGAATCTATATAATATATAGAATTATAAACGACTAGCTCTAGCTGGTTAAATAATTTATGGACATCATGGAGTGATCAAACTGATCGCTTGTTCTTTATTTTATAATATGCTATCTGGTTTAATTAATTTGGCTCATCAGATCCGAGATAAGGGAAAGTAATGAAAACGTGAAGAGGGTTAAAGAAGCTGAGAGATTTGTATCTTCAGAGAAATTCTATTAAAAGTTTTATAATTATTTTCACAATTAAGTTTGTCTTCTTTTTATCTTATCCTAACTAAACAATTTGAATCTATATTCGTAATTAAGATAATAATACGCACGAAGAAGCGTGTGAAAACTCGTACAACGTAACTTCCATCCTTAATGATCAATAATAAAATTAACATTTAAGTATACGTGATTCATTTAGCATAATTAAAAGTATACACACGTTTAAAGTGTTAAAATGTGCAAAAGAACAATTTGCATGGTTCTACACTTTATCTTCACTTTAAGATCGTGAATAAGCTTTAAAGAATCACAGAGGTATAATCAGCTGTTTCTGAACTAGGTGAGAATAAAACGATTGCCACTAAGAATTAATATATGTTTTTAAACATTCATTTTACAATCAAAATGTATAACATTAGCTAATTTGATCAGTCAAAGTCCTACGTTATTGTTTCTTTCTTAAAGTTGAAATGAAACGCGATCAATTCGCCGCACCTGCCGAATTGCATCAACATGAACCGAACGAATGTCCGTAAAAAATACGTATATAATATCCGGTAGTAAAATCGCGCGGGAGATGACGTCGAGCATCGCCGATAGATTTCCCGCGTTGATGCCCCGGGACTCCGTGTGCGCGATCAATAAGAGTACGTCAAAGCTACGTAACTCGCAACGCGCGACGTCCTTTAAAGTCGATGGATCACTGCACGATGCCATTACACAGGGTGCAGGGTGACTCACCTAACTGCTGGATACGAGCTATTTTGTCAGACTGTACAGTACCTCTAAAAAGTACCGACGAAAAGCAGACGATGTAACATAATTAATATAAGAAATTACTTTTACATGAAATCGAATCATTTATATTGGACCTTAGTTAGTCGTAAAATGTAACGAAAGTTACTTTCTATACATTATATAAAATAATTCTATTCCACATTGTTAATAAACATTATTTTGTGTAATCAAAGTTTGGCTGAAAAAGAATTGCGTTTCGCTGTATACAGAGACTATAGTCGAGGATAACTAAAAAAAATATTAAAAAATTAAGGAAGGAAAGCGCAGCTGCGCGAGTGGCGAGTTCGAATCGATCGGTCGCAACAACTTTTCAACAGCACGGCAACGAACCGGATTTTTCCCATCGCTTTGGATTCTCTCTCGTTCCGTTCTTCAATTATGCAAAACATGCATAATCCACGCGTATCGTAATTATGCGCGAGAGATACACGATCGTTAATTAACCATTTCTCTTTTCCTCAGTGTTGGTTCTTCGATAAATTCTTTAGATAGATAAAACTTTTCAACAATCGTAATTATTCGCAAACGGACGATTTCTATACGCGGAAAGGATAATCTGACATTCTGAAGTTGTTTGTCACATGTTCCACGAATTCTCACGTACTAATAAATAATTCCAAGTTATCATCGCGAAATTCTTTTCGAATGATCGTTTCAAGTTCAAGTGAATCATATCACAGATTCGGGGAAAACTTTCCATCATGGCCATATCGTACGATGAACGAATAGGCCCTACCCTAACAATTTCAAGTCAATTGACAGGGATTGTTCGAAAGAACATTCATTTCTTAATGAACGATTTATAAGCATAAAATTTGTGTTCTATCCGCTTTAAGCGCACGGTGGCTCTCTCCTGGTTGCGCAGACAGTGAAGCGTGGAGCGTGGCTGGCATTCGAGCCTTCGAGCCGTCTGGAAGAGACAGATCAATATGCCGGTTTTGCTGCTTTCGTCCTGTCCCTGTTCCTCTTCCGCCCGCCAATAGAATCCCCGGTTTCTCTCTCTCTCGTTGGCCCAGCTACCGCGCCAGCTGAACATTGGCATTGATTTTCAAAGTTTAGGAAGTGTTGCCCTGCCTGCGAAGCTAGCGATGAGAGCTCCAAGCGCACCGACCGTTTCCTGTGACCGGACTACAATGTTACGCACACTTGTAGCAACCTACCGATCAATACGGTCGATTCGATACCGCGTCAATTTTGCGTAGAGCATCCCCCTTTGCTTACACACGACTTCCAATATAATCCTGTCGTTTCTGGCGCGGGTAAAAGTCCGCTCACGACGTTGGAAATTAGAAATATTTTTTATTATCGTTATTTTATACATTTAAAATATTTAGATAAATCTATTTCAAGTGACATGATACTGCAACAAAACTTACGGTCACAAAATAATTTGGTAGACATCCTGAAAATTAATTTTAGGAGAGTAGGAAATAAAATGAAATTCGAACTAAATGCCTATTAGGAAATTTTATGTGTGTATAGTAAAATAAGAGCCACACCCAGTTGTTACACATCAACACATATATTTTTGCTTTTGCATGTTGCATACATACGATAAACAGTACATTGTTTACGCGTTCCTCGAGGTATGGTATACTAGAAAATTTTCATTATTCACTACTACAATTGCTATTCGACGCATTTTTACTTCGTTACGTCCGCTTCTTTTTGTGTATTTACGTCTGCTGTGTTAACTATGACGAGAGAATCGTTTGTTCAAAATAAAACGGAACGAACGACAAGTAACACACTCTGTTTGCAATGACCTCGCTTATCTTTTTCCTCTTTGTGTTCGTATTCGTCGTTAGGAAAGAATTGCGCGTGTTCGTTATTAGCAAAAAGTAGAAAGAAAAAAGAAAAATGGACGTTTTCATCAGAAAAGTCAGTTTTAATCATAGACAGTCAAGTTGGATGAAACATACAACGCAAGATAAGAATTTTTAAATGCTGCGACTATTCCAAGAACTGCGTCTTAACGATCATAAAATGTACAGTTTTGTGCAATCTCGATTTTACTCGACCCCATGCAAAAAGCGAAACAGAAATCTTTCTTGTTACACAAATCATCGTCCCAAAATACTTTCGGAAATTGAGCAATCGTTAAACGATCACGCGCAAGAACAATACGAAAAGTATAAACTTTATGAACGTTCCGGTAATCGGTACTTAGGCGACCGATATGCACGCACACAACTGAATAAAAGTATAACACAAACATGTACTATTTTATTATTTTTATCATAATGAATTTCAGTGAACGTTTTTAACCCTTTGCACTATATAAATTAATCTCATCTTTCAAAAATTAAGTTCTCTTTATATCATTAACGATTCGAGTTTCATTTTATAATACAGTAAACAAAAGCTATTATGGAAAAAGGTAATAGACATCGATGTGCAAAGAGTTAAAGGTAACGATCTTCAATCAATAGCAATTAAAGAAATCGCAATAATTTCGTTCAATATTTTATGTCAATCTATAGAGAAGGTACAGAGACTTCGGATTTCCTTGTAACAATTGACAGAATTGTTGAAACAGAGAAAAGAATATTCATATGCAGTTTGCAAAATCGTATGGTTGCAATAAGGAACAGAAAATAAGAGGTCGTATCTGCGTAAAAAATCTGGCATTCAATTTCTTCTTCTTTATCCGCTTTCGATCTTCACATTTGATTAAATTATTCATTTACAAACAGACTGAGAAATGTTTTGAATGAGTGCCGCAATCGGTCGAATGAATCTTCGAAGGTAGGAACTACCTGCCTCGTACTTAAAATATACCATGTACAGCCTCTGTAAGTATTGCTACAATCAATTGTGCTCTTTCTAATATCTCGGCCTTCTCTATTATTCTCTCACTCACTCTCGTTCTTATTTATCTTTTATCACCCGCTATGTATGTATTCACACTCGTTATCAATTTTGCACGATACTTCGGTACATAAGTTTGCTTATGCTACGCAGATAGCCTCTACATACACCGGTCGCCTCGATCGATTCACACGCTAAATCGAGGTGAGTTGTATGTGTTTTATGTGTTCGAAAAAAGAGCGCCGTTTCGATCAAGAGGAACGATGACACCTTAAGTTCCGCCAGAAATTAGCATCGTTCAATGACGATTGCGAAGCTCATAGAAGACAGAAGCGAATGATGAGTTCACCGTTCTTTTCGTCTAGTGTGTGCCGATCGTTTTGTACAAATATATACAAAAGAAGCCATGCGCCCGGCGTCCGTGTACTTGTCTTCTCGTCAAAACCGCGAGAAGATCTTTGGACGCCCAGCTTAGAAAGAACAATATGCTTGGGTTTATTCGGGTTTTTCTTTTCATTTATTTTCCATTCCTCTTTATCTTTGAAACGTTTTCTTTTTTTTTAGACAATAGCGAGTGTATGGTTCCTATTTGACGGGCGTCACTTTTTTCATCGGCGAAATGAAAAACCAAAAGGCCCTCTCACTTAAAGTCTAGCGATTAATTAAAAGGTGAAAGTGGACGTTACACAATTCGGATATCGATCCGTTCTTTTCTTCTTTGTTGCTTTTCCTTCTTATTAATGAATCACTGGATAAAGAACGACCTCGCTCTCATCTCGTATGTGTTCTCGGATACTACCAGACGTGTTGCAAAAGATATTTCACAAAGAAGAAATAATAAAGATAGGATTAAAAAAAAAAAGTAAATTACGTTCGAATATATTACACAACAACGTAGTTTCATTAGATATGCGGTGTGCCTTTTTTAATCTTATAATAATTCGAGAATAAAGAAAAAGAAAAAATAATTTAATAGATATTAATACGCAAACGAGAATGTAAGTCCTTTTTGTACATTTAAAAATGGTTACTCCTTCCGTTCATAACTTTTACTAATAATGTGGTATGTACACATATACACACACTGTACAGATAACCCGTACGCTGGGTCCAAATATATCCGCCATATGTTGTTTGTTTATCGTACAACGAGTGGTATGGTAGTAGTAGAAAGAGTATAGAAATAAAAGATTAGAAAAGGACGATTCCCATCGGGTCGACTCGGCTGACAGATTTTCCTTTACGAAATTTTCCGAAGACTGAAACTCTCGAACTTCGGTTAATCCGCGATCACGCGACAAGCGTGAATAGAAATAAAGTACATATCATACAACCGTCCAATTTCTACAGTATCATGTACGTTCTGTTGTGTGTGAGTGTATGTGTATCTATATATATATATGTTTAACGTGTCTGTGTATTGATATAAAGCAAATGGTGCCCGCATGCGTGTTGCGCACGCGCGCGCGTGTGTGTGTGTGTGTGTGTGTGTGGATGGTACATGAAACATACACGCTTTTCTGTATGTTTGTTGAACTTGAAAAAAATGCGAAAACATAGTTCGCCGTACAAGAAACAATAAAGAGAGGCCATCGAGCCTAAGTACAAACCCAAACCGGAAACAACAGATCTGTTCCGCGGTTTCTTCTCTAAGATCGATCCGCGATATATTCGACAAAAAACGCGTTTTCGCTTTCGTTATTCTCGCGCATTAACCATTCTGCGATATGATTCCGGTTTATATGCACGCGCACGTGTATGTACGTGCGCGCGTGCAAGCCGATGCCAGCGTGTCAAAAATTGCCAAAGACTTCTTCTCAAGACCAAATCAAAACAATTTGATCGAGCGAGAAAAAAAACACCCGATCGATCGACAGACAATCGGTTTCCACCGGTGAATAGAGCAATCCAGCGAGAACGCATCCATCTCGTTGGGAAAAAGGAACCGTCCACTTTCCCCGACAACAACTTCAACATCTTCATACGATTATTAATTCCAAATTTACACCGACAACGTCTTTGGCTCGAATCGAACAATGTATTTGGCAGTATTCGTCGCCAAAACATTCTATCACCGTTACCAAAAAAGTATTTTGCATTTTCTTTGGTGAACCTTCACGGTTCCACCAAAATGACCAACCCCTCTATTCAAAAGAGGGTGCAAAATTGAAGCCCCGTTTAGAACAAACTAGAGAACTTTTAAGTCTCTCTCTCTTTCTTTACTTTAAGCCCGGAGCCAGTGGAATCGTCACCCAGAATGGTGGCTATCTCGCCTTGCATGAATGCCCATGGCACTTGGCTGTTTGCCAGTGGACATTTCTCGCCGCTTGGGCAATAAACCTGGAACAATGGAAATTAGGTTGTTAACACCGTTCGAACGGTGAACGCTGATTCCATTAGCGTGTTGCACGATTAGAAAAATTATTCTCAAGTCAACACTTTTCATCGCATTGAAAATCGCATTTAAGTAATGACCAAAAGGAATTAATAAATGACTTCGACTCACCTCTGAGCCTGCGCCCTGTCTCTTTATACTCTCACGGCTGCACGGGAAGCAGAATTTATGGTGTTGCACACTGGGGCATTGTACGAAATGCGTATCCTCGAGCCGTTCTTGGCAGAGAGTGCATTTCAATATAGGTGCCGACACTTGCTCGGCTCCAGCACCCTGAGCGACCAACGCTTCCTGTGGCGTCGTCACGGTCGTCGATGACACGTGCCTCGAACCACTGGACCTCCTGCCCGAAGCTCCTGCAAACGATCAATATAAACCTAACTTAGATCACACATTTGTTAACAATGTGAGTAGGTAATTACATTAAAACAACGATCGACGCATTTCTCTCATTTTAGAATCGCTGTGTTTAAAGCTTTTACATGTTCAAATTTGTGTAAGTACGAGAAAGTAAGAACAGATTTAATTACCTGAACTATTTGGGCTGTGCTGCGATCCTCTGGAGGCACTGCGTTGTTGGACATTCGTGGTCGTGGTCGGTGGGCTTCTGCTAGTGGGGCTTGGATTATTCGATGGTTGTGGCACTGATTCCGGTGACGCCAAGTTGTCAGCAACGGACATGAGTGCGGCCATAGGTGACGGACCATTCGCCGAACTCTGAAAAGATAAAATTATCTTCAATTTGCATGTCTAATGCGAATATCAATGAGCCCTTGAACCGCGATTAACATCGCGGTCATTAATATTTGAACTCGTTTACCTGATGGTGATTCGACTGTGAATCGTTGGTGGCTTCCTGAGTTGGTGGCGGCGGTGGCGGAGGGGTTGTTCGCGGTCGAAGAGGAGACCCTCCGCCGTTTGTTGCCACATTTCCTGGTGCCAGTGGAATAGACGGACCGACGTACGATCCTAAAAATCGATCAGATTTTAGCAATCCATTGACAGCACTTTAGCATATTCATCTACTTATTCCTACGCTTCGTATCTTGGAATATTAACGACCGTTTAAATTTTCGATTAATGTTAATTTAAAACGATTCATCAGAAACATCATCGCTATGCATGCTATTAGGTCAATATACAGTGACTCATTCTTTTTGAATTTTTTACACGTAAAAGAACTTAGCATCGAATGTTTACATTTCAAGTGCCTTCAAAGTGTATCGTAGAAACACGAATTAATGAGTCACTAGTACATATTCAATTAAAAAATCGTTTTCACTGCGCGTGGATGTTAAAATTCCAGGATTAACATGACCGAGTCGTGACTTCCAATAGTCGATCATTTAGAATGTTATTGGTAGACAGAATTAAATACCCTTCCTTTTCCTCGTACAATAATATTGTGAAAGAACTAAAAATACGCTAATTAATACGCGAGAAACACAAGTTTACTTTACTAATGGCCAAAGATAAATTGTTATGATAATTTTTATGCTTGAACATGTTAAAAAATGTAAATACATTTATCAAGTCATTCGTTCTTGATGCTCAAAAATAGAAATAAATAATGAATTCGACACGGATTCGACTGATTTTCAAATCGAGTCATTTGCTGTCCGTTAAGTCAAGTAGTCTAGGCTGGGTTAGATATTTACCGTGAAATTGATATTCCGCGGTAGAGCGGGATCGAATGGCACACACGTAAGACGTGCCATCGACATCGCTAGCTGTGTACAAAGTGCTTTTCGCGGCTTATTTGCTTTCATGAGAGCACGATCGGCGCCCAGAATATCGAGCGTTGTCGCGTATACCCTAACTGTAGAAGGTTACGCATTTTTATATTGTTTACGAACCATTTTCGTGCCATCCCTGGTCACTTTTAACACACGATACGATTGCTATTATCATCATATTACGTATGGACAGTCATCATTTTTCGATTTTCAACATATAAATTACGAAATAAAAAAAAGACTATTAGTTTGAATTCATTCAAGCAATGATATTATTATAAGAATTAGTATAGTATGTCTGCTGTAAATGTTTTCCATGGTTTGATATTAACTGATAAAGAATTACAGATCGTATATCAAATAAAGTTATTCTGTAGTGCGTATGTCCCTAAACACTGATCAGCGTGTTTGGTAATCGTAAGCTTCCACTATGTGTTTCAAAACAGCGATAATCTCAAAATGTCGAATTATCATTTCATACACGACTGTGTTATCAATAGCTACGCAACGAGCATTCATCCGACAACGTGTTGTATTTCAGTTATCACCGAATTGCGTTATTTTTTTTCCACAAGTGTTTACGCGTTATAAGTACTGGCAAAATGGATACTACCGGGCACGAGTTTGATAAGACAGAGGAATCGACGTTAAAAAGAAACTGGGCGTTTCGTCACGTTCTACGAAGAGGATCCGTGGTGACACGCCTGTGTATGTACTGCGTGATTACATACTCCAGTGTAACGCAGCATCCCCACGTACATATCTACTCCCACCAATGCGTGATCGGTTATATGAGTTAGCGAAGTCCTCGACTTGAAACACGGTCTGCCACCGAGGAAACGTGTGACCAGTACTTTTCCGTGACGAGGATATGACGACGACTTCAATAGAAGCACGAGAGACCGTTGGTGTCGTGTCGATAGATACTACGTTCTCTATCTACAAACCTGCAGAACTTCACACAAGTCTTGCATATAACTGTCTCCTCCAACTTAATATATTTTTAAATATAATTAATAGCATTGGAAAAGGATATTTTTTATATATATTCTAAGAATTTCTCTCTATGAAATTAAAAATTACAAATAACACGAGGCATGTTATCGTCGTTCGATTCACCTCGAAAATAACGAGTCAGTATTTAGTCATACGATTCTTTGCTATAACTCTCGCATAGTTGCAACCGGAAACGACGACGGAGAACAGCGAGGGCTGGAACGGTACAAACCGAGGAAAAGAAAACGCATGCGTGGTTTTGTAATACACATCGCATCACGCACGTAGGCGGTTGTTTAGTCATACCCTATGCTTTTATATATTACTTGCTAACCGGTCGACTACTATAGTGGCCTTGTTTCGAAAGTATGACCCTCTCAGCAGCGCGCCGGTTGACGCCGCTCCGTGGTGTGCGGCGTCGCGTCGTCAACGCGCGTATTTACGGCTGACGTCCCCTCCTCTACACGGTGTCCCAAAACGTTTATTCTCACATCGGTCACGTTGCTTATTAATTTAGCGATGGCCTTGTCGATTTGTTAAGTACAGAGATAAACAATATTCCATTTTAACTTATTAATAATTAAATATCTGTGCCACTTCTAAATTACATAGCAAGGTATATACATACTTCGCATTGAAGAGCGAAACACATTTTCATCTTACACGAATGATAAGATCAAAGCTGATATATCCTAGATAAGAGCTTATCGTTAGAAAGGTTTATCAGCACGTGCGACGTTTTCACTGAGCCGATAGATCATAAGGTCGATAGATAAGATCCTTTCACGTGTTCTACGACACCTTGTATGTGCGCGACGAAGCGCAACGCGACCACGGGCATGACTGACCTGCGTCCCGTGACATACGATGTAGTGCACATGCATATATGTTCACGATTATCTGCGTGGAATTGATCGAGCATAACTGACAATGAGAACCGGAACACTGTAGTGACCAACGAGATCATTCGGCTGATCTATCCTATCTGTCTGAAAATCTGTCACGGCTGAAATTTCGTGAACAGCTCCATCGTAAAGACAATTTTACAATTTAGTTTCTCAACTATTTCGTTTGAGTTATCTCTCTATCGAATTATATAGAAAATTGCCACTTTGGATAGAGTATTTTATGTGCTTACTCTTCGTTAAAGAGAGTAGTAGTGCTTAATGCACGTTAACTCCCTTTGAAGAGACACCGAGAATTTGATGGGAGAGAACGTGACGCGCACAGATAAGAGAAATGAGCAACAAATTAAGTAGTCGGGAAGTCGTCAGCGTCATTATTTTAATACAATTATACTTAAAAACCCATGCGTTTATTTCCAGACATTTAATCTTTGCCAGCAGAAATCTATTTTTATCAAACCCGCATACGCGAACTGTTTCTATGTATCTCTAATGGAAACACTACTTGCCATGATAAAAAATTATAGATAAAAAAAGGAAATGAATAAATCTGTTTATCAGTTATTGGTATAAGTATGATACTTCATGAAACATCTGTATCCCTAAATACAAAACGTAGTCCCAGATGTAATCCCGCTCAAACAAACTCTAAAAACTGCAAGGTTCTTTCAAGATGATCCGTTTTATTTTTCGATCGGTCGTTTTAGAACTTCTTAATGACCGGCAATCACTATGAATCACAAAATAGTAACAGTTCCGAATCAAGTATACGAGAGTGAAAAATAACCGATGCCAGGGAAAATCGGATGTATCGTTCCGTTACTCTGCTCATACCTAGTTATTACCGCGTTAAATTACCATAACGATCTACGAACGCTTCAACGAATACCTTGGATAAAAAATAGTTTCTCGAAAAAATATAAAAAAAGTTTCTTCTAGCTTAGGATTAACCAAACGACTATCGTTTCAACAAACGGTCGGCACTATACTATCTATACTATCTTCGTTCCGTTCAAGCAAATTTCCAGAAACTATTTGTGTATCTTGGGGATAAAAACAACCAATGCCAAAAATCCAACTGACTCCCACTTCGAGACACAGGAGAAGGAAGCGAAACGACTGGATCGTCGCCCAGCAACGACTGCATCGAGTCTCGAGTCACTATTCAGTAACCGTAAACACACACACGTTAAGGTCGAATTAGAAAGTGGCCAGTGTCGAAATAACGGTCGATGACCAAGGTCAGCCTGGTTGTACGTACGTACGTACATAAGTACACAGGCACGTACTCGGGAGCATCGTCGAATCCGCCTCATCAATGAGACACGTACAACGAAAAGAAGCGCAAGAAAAAGGAGGGCACGCTACAGTTACCTCCGCGGTGCAGTCGCGAAAAAACGGGAAATACATCGTGTACAAGTTGAACCGGTTTTCGGTTTCCAAATATCATATTGGCACAATGTCCGGAGGACCAAAAGAAAAACTGTACGTTTTATACAACGCTACCATGTTCTTCTCTTAGTACAATGTAACAGTACAAAGACGGTTAAAGTATACATTTAAAAATCAGGAATTAAGCAAAATTATATTTTCAAAATGTTTGTAACGCCGACAGATATTCGTGTTGAGTAGCGACGGGCTCATTCATTGTATCTAAATATACCATGTGACGTCATTCGATCGAACGTCACAGCAGTCGGGTACGGCACGGCAGTTCGGTGTATCTTTTGGTCGTCCCATCACGTGTTCAACGTAACGTCTCCTTTATACGCGTTTGGACGACTGCCGCTTATCCAGAATGAAGAAGCTGGTCGAAGGATACTTAAGGAGGGAGACACATGCGCTTAAGTTCCTTTTAGTACAACGCGGGATCTGATTATTACTTTATACTATCGCTTTAAATACGTTCAAAAGACATTTCACTTTAATATCTACAATTGCGAGAAACTTCAGCCCTACATAGATAGTCGCACCTGATATTATAGAAGTCATAAAGGCGTGCATGCGGCTCCTTTCTTGTGCCACATGGCCACGCGCACGACCAAACATTTTCCTATTTTTGCTACCAACCGATCAGTATAAGCGAGAAAGACCATCTGCTTCTTAAAAGGAAGAAAACCTGATACCTTGTTTAAACAGTACGAATGCCTCGATAAAACTATTAAATTTAATTATAAGATAATAACACGACTGTAAATATATTAGAGATTAGGAAGGGTATGTAATATGTTTCCAATTACGATCGATATTGTAGAAATAAAAGTATAGCTCCGACTCCTGTTATGTATAAAAATAATCTCAGTTTCCGGAAAAATCGTGTGTTGATTCAACAAATTCCCGGGAAGTTCCAAGAATAGTATTTGATCGAAAATGATGAATTACAAGGAATTCTGCAGATTTAAAGCCGGAAATCTGTTTGCAACACGAGTCGTAAACCTTCATCATGTCATCCGAATATTTAGCGTACCATTAGCTTTGAACGTAGTGGCCGTTTCGAAACTGGTTGCTCTCACAGGATGCTTTTCCTTGCTTAGACGATCCTGAATATAGTTGACTGCCAAGCTAACAGCTGGCAAAGAGTCGCCCCTAGTCAATGGCGGCCTGACTGTATGCTGTTCCTCCAACGATAGCTTCTTCTCCACGTGCTCGTCCTCGTCGATAGTGGAAATACCCCGCTTGAGTTGTGCGATACCTCTGTTGTGGCTGAGATTCACGTGATGTGCCACCGCGGTTAAGTGGGCGTTCGGTATTCTCACGTTATTACTCCTCATGCCGTTTGCGATTTGTTCGTGCGTGTCCTCGTGTTGCCGAGATATCTGCTGCCTCGATGTACCAGAGTTGAACTCTGTGATGGAGTTTCGATGATGAAGCTGAGAGTAACCGGTGATATTATGATGTCTCGAATGGTTCTGCCCGGTGTTCTGTATGGGCAGAACGTCCAAATTGGTACCGCCGTTGTGTTCGGTGTGTCCGGATGTTCTGTACGCCTTGGACGATGAGGATCTTGCCTCGTGAAAACCGTGTGCCTTTTTCATCTGTTTAGCAGATTCCAATACCGCGTCTATCCTGTCGGCACCCTCGTAATTCACACAACCGCGGCACACGGGTTCTGAGAATTCCGTGATCATCGCCCAGGGCATCCTGGGCAGATCGCACAGATAGCATTGCGTCCTCTTCCCCATCATTTTGTCGTTCGACTTCGTTGATATTCCGCCGAGTCGTCGTCGTCACGCAATATACCACACAGTGAATCACTCACATCCACTTTTCGCACTGTCTACTGTTATGCTGTTTCTATGTTTTCTCTCACAAGCACTATTATCGAAACAACGCAGCAC